CCGAGAAAGCCGAAGGGGCTGGATCGCCTGGGTTACCCTCTTGCTCCGGCCCCTGGGTCCACCAGGCTGGCTGGACCCCAAGCTGGGGGTGTGGGGAGAGGCAAGATAGCTTCCGGGGGCCTGGGGTGGAATCGAGGATCAAGAGGGTCCCTATCGTGTTCTGGTGGGGCTTGGCGGGGAGGGGAGGGGGTTGTGGAACCTGGAGAGCTGAAGCTCGGGCACTGGAGCTGCGGGAGGGAGAAGCTGAGAAAGGTGTCGAGCCCACGTCAGATCCTGGGGACGGGCGAAGGGAGGGGCCTGGAATTTATTTGGGGCGGAGGGGGGGAAGGAGGAGGAGGAAGTGCAGATGGAGGAAGGAGGGACCAAAGGAGCCAGGACGGTAATCCTCACTCCCGCGGCCCCTAGGGGAGGCAAAGGAAACTCTGGTCCCAGCAGTAATTACGCCCCTCTCCCCCAGCCATTCCAGCACATCTGGAATCTGAATTTCCTCTTCCCAGGGTGATGAGGGGCGGCACAGCTGGACTCGCGCCTGCTCAGTCCCCGGTATACCCTCTGCCCACATCCAGACCAGCCATGGGACTTCCCTCTTCCTTTTACAGAAGCTCATGTGGAATGGGCTTTCCCCTCCTCCAGGAGAATGGCAAGTTTCCACGTTCGTGAGAAGTCTAAGAGGTGACTGGCCTGAATCTGGGGAGGGGAGACCTCTCCTCTTACATACAACGTGAACCCGGCCAGCTGCCAGGCGGCTTCAAATTTTATTTTTTCTCCTGGCCTCTCTCACAACGCCTCTGGAGCGCCCTTTTCAGCACCACCAGCGAGAGGACAGCTCTCCTCGGCCCCTCCTGAGCGGGCCGGTTCCGGCGCCGCGCGCGATTGGCTGAAGCCGCCTTCGCCATCAATCAGGCTCCAGCCGGAGGCTGGCTCGGCGAAGGCGAAGGGGGAGTCATAGGCCAACTGGTCCAGGGACTGGCAGACCGACCCACAGGCTGCGGCATCCCTGTCCGCAGTCCACGAACGCGGGCCTTGTCCGTCAGTCGGCGCGCTCACCCCGCCCCTTGACTTGCCTCGCCTCTCCCTCAGGCCCTGCCCCTTCTTTTCGCATTGCGGGGAGGCTGGAGGTTGGCTCGGTGCCCCCCGCACCCCACGTGGCGCCCCGTCGCGGCCGGGCGGGGGTTGGGGGGAGGGCTAGGCAAATCCTGAGACGACTCCCCACCCCAAGACTGAGTTGTGACTGCCAGTGGGCGGGGGTGGGGGTAGCTAAGCTGAGAAGACTGTGGAGAGGGGTGACGTCAGGGTGAGTGGGAGCCAAGGAAGGAGCGAATAGGAAAGAGAGAGAAAGAGAGAGACGGGACTCGCGGGTCAGGTCGAGTGAGAAGCGAGGGCAGGAAGGAGAGAGGCGGGAGGAAGGAGAGAAGCCGCTGCGGAGAACGACTGATTGCGGGTTCCGGGGCCGCGGGTCCAGGTGGGGTAGGAACTGCTGTTCGGGGAAGCTAGAAGGAATAGGGGGAAGAGAAAGACAGAACGAAAAGAAGAGCGGAGGTGGAGGGAGGAGAGAAGAAGGGAGAAGGGGAGACAGAGGGTGGGGAAAGGAGAAGCAGAGGGAGACAGGAAACTGCCAGAAGGAGAAAGAAGGGGGAGGGGGGAGGGCGCAAAAGGAAGAGGAGAGAGTTGGAAAGAGAAAGAAAAGGTAGAAGGAGAGAGAAGAGAAAGATAGATGGAAAGAAAGGGATAGGAGAATTAGAGGTACACGAAGGAGGCAAGAAAGAGGGAGATACAAGGTGGAGAGAAGCCCTCAGAAGGAGAGAGAACCAAGAGTGGGGATGTGGAAGGGAAACAGCCCAGGGGGTAACCAGGGAGCAGCCATGGAGGGAACCAGAGGACAACAGGGGGGACAGGGGAACTGGGGTCTGGAAGATGACCCAGGCCTCTTGGCCAGGGCCTCCTTGCCCATCATGCCTGCATGGCCATTGCCCCTGGCTTCCTCAGCGCTTACCCTGCTCCTTGGAGCCCTCACTTCCCTTTTCCTCTGGTACTGCTACCGCCTGGGCTCCCAAGACATGCAGGCCCTGGGGGATGAGAGACAGGCTAGGAGTGTCAGTGGTGGGCCTGGGGGATGCTCTGAGGCTGGCAGGCCAAGCCCAGGGAGTGCTGGAGAGCCTGGGGAAGGACCCAGAACAGAAGGCTTAGTGAGCCGTCGCCTTCGGGCCTATGCCAGGCGCTACTCCTGGGCGGGGATGGGTAGGGTGAGGCGGGCAGCTCAGGGTGGCCCAGGCCCTGGGGGAGGGCCAGGGGTCCTGGGCATTCAGCGCCCAGGCCTGCTTTTCCTGCCAGACCTGCCCTCAGCCCCCTTCATGCCACGGGATGCCCAGCGGCATGATGTGGAGCTCCTGGAGAGCAGCTTCCCTGCCATTTTGCGGGACTTTGGGGCTGTGAGCTGGGACTTCTCAGGGACTACCCCTCTGCCTCGGGGCTGGTCCCCACCCCTGGCCCCTGGGTGCTACCAGCTCCTGCTGTACCAAGCAGGCCAGTGCCAACCCAGCAACTGCCGCCTGTGCCCTGGAGCCTATCGGGCACTGAGGGGGCTGCGGAGCTTTATCAGTGCCAACACCTTCGGCAATGCTGGCTTTTCTGTCCTCCTGCCTGGGGCACGGCTTGAGGCCCGCTGTGGGCCCACCAATGTGCGGGTCAGATGTCATCTCGGTAAGTAGATGCTGCCTACAGACAACTTCCTTGCCTCCATGATTCCCCCTCCAGACTCTCTTCTTCTCTGCCACCAGAGCTTTCTACACTGTGGTTCTGATCATGCCTTTCTTCTCAGAAATCTTCACAGCAGCATTTCCTGAGCTTCAGCGATTTGCAAACCATCTTCATAAGCTTTGCCACAGTCATTTACCACCTGTACTATGTTTCTTCATATTGACTCTCCCCACATTTTTACTTATTTTAAAGCAATCTTTACAGGACAATGATAATCAGTATTACTTACCCTAAAAAAATACTGATAAAAACAAATTTAAACTTAAAAAAAGAAAGCTTTAAAAATTCTAGCTAAGTAGTTTCTCTGAGACCGAAGCCTATGCTGTCTTCACTTAGACAGGAGCAACGTTAGTGGGGTGTTAAAGTCATGGTAGCACCAAACTGAGGTTTCCTTTTCGATGTTTGAAAGATTGAAAGAAAATGGAAAACAATACAATTTTCTGAGTTATTTAATGGCATGACCTTGTTTTGCCTAAAATCATCTCCTATGCTACTAGTTGGATGTGTTCTCCACTTCTAAGCACAATGGCCTCAGGATCAAGTCCAGATCCTTTCTTTCCTGCATCTCCCACCTGTTCTCTTCCTCCCCTTCCTTCCCAATGTGCTCTAAATCTTAAAGGCCTCTGACCGATTCTGGCAGATGCCACACTCATGCTATACACTTAACCTAGAATGTCTTTACCCTTTATCATTTTATCACCTCCTGGAAAACTCCTCCTGAGTCTTCAGGACTCACATTTTCTATTGCCACGTGTCCTCTGGGATGTCTTCCTATTCCCCATCATTTTAGTTGGCTGCTCAGTTTTCTCACAGCATTTGATTGTGTGGTCCTTGGGCCAGGATGGAGCCAATAGTTTTATACCTTGTGGGAGAGAAAGGCCTATCACATAGTAGGTTCTTGAGTTAAACTGTCAGAAGCCCAAGAGGAGATGCCACTTCTTCCAGTAAGCTTTCCCTGTTTTCTGAAGCAGAATAGATTGTGCTTTGCACTGCATTTCTCCTATCTCCTAGCACTTCTTTCATCCAGTATGGTCTTCTAATAACACTTGGGTCACTTTCCAGAGAGCAAAGAGAGACCACCATAGACACTGGCATTTAACACCCTCAGATCTGCTTATTGATTGAATGGGGTGGGCCCCTTTAACAGAGGCAGGAGCGATAGATGCCTGGGTCTCTTTCCACAGGCCTGAAGATCCCCCCTGGCTGTGAGCTGGTGGTCGGGGGTGAGCCCCAGTGCTGGGCTGAGGGACACTGTCTACTGGTGGATGACTCCTTCCTGCACACAGTGGCTCATAATGGTAATGGGGCTCCCGTTCTGCCAAGGAGGGATGAGGGACTAAAAAGTGAAGTGGAGTAGACTAGAGATCACAGAATCAGCCCCAACTGGCTTCCTGTTCTAGCACCACCATTTTGTAGCTGCATGACCTTGAATAAGTCACATAACTTCTCCAATCATCTGTGAAATAGGGCAACTGCCATCTTGATCAGGTGACTGCAAGGATTATATGTTAATGTAGGTGCATAGCGAAGTGGTTAACATTATAAGACCCTAGGCTGATCCACCTGAGTTCCTGTCCTACCTCTGGCACTTATAGGCTGTATGACCTTGGACAGTTATTTAACCTCTTTGTGCCTCAGGGACTTTGTATAAAACGGGAGTAATTATGGTACTAATTCAGAGTTTGTTTTATGATTAAGAGTTAATACACTTAGGGGTTAGAACAGTGCGTGGCACTTACTTACAAAGTGCTGCTTTTACAAGTGTTTGGTGAGTGTTCTGGCATATAAGCTCTTAATGTTAGCTGCTCTCCTGTCTCCATCCCCATGTGCCCTAGGCTCCCCTGAAGATGGGCCTCGAGTAGTCTTCATCGTGGACCTTTGGCACCCCAACGTGGCTGGGGCCGAGCGCCAGGCCCTCGACTTTGTCTTCGCACCAGACCCTTGAAGGAAGGCGTTCCCTTCAGACATTTGGGCTGGAGAGATGCTGCACTCAGGGATGGCTTGAGTGTTAGCCAGGACCTCCTCTCCATTGCAGGGGCTGGGATGGGGCTGAGGGTGGGAACTGACCAGCAAACACTGAAATACAGATTTTTAAATCCTCTCCTAACTCCTGACTACTTTCTTCCCAGCTACCAGCCCCAGGGAAAGACATGGGGCAGGGGTTCATTTCTTCTCCCACCCAACTAGCCAGGTACAAGCCATCTCCCTGGACCCCTCCCCAGGAGCTAGTACCAGACCCTCAATTCAACTTTATTCCAATAATTTAATAGAAAATTAAAATAAATAATATGAAACAGATTGAGATGGCCGAGCTGGTGCAGGCCCAGGCCCGCCTAGTACAAAGTTAAGGAGGTAGGGAGAATGGTGGGGGAAGGAGGCAGGCAAACTACCCTGCACAGTGCAGGGAGGTGGCTCAGTATGTGGTGGGTGTTATTAAGGGCTGGCTTGACACTTTGGCATGAAAAATGTACTAAAAAAAAGAAAAAGGGAATTCTAAATCATTCTAAACCAGCTGATGAGGGAAGATATCAGGACCAAGATGAGGATAAAGGAATGAACGTAGGCCTTCTGAAGGGCTCTGACTGAGGGGAGGGGTTGGAATGTACTGTTATTAGCAATGAGGTGGGAGTGAATGGAAAAGGGCCAAAGTGAACTGTACCATGCAATGAAGGGACAGAAGGAAGGCCCACGACTTGGCCAGCAAAGCCGGGGCAAAAGTCTGGGAAGTAGAGGAAAAGCTAGAGAGGGACTGCGTCCCAGTGGCAGGAAGAAAACAGGAAGAAAGGTCAAAAGTCAGTCCTTGAAGACAATCTGTTGGCCATGAGGACGCTCATCGTGGGTGATGTGGCGCCGGACATGGATCCTGCGGACACGGTGCTCTCGGTTCTCTTCATCCTCCCCTCGGCCTGTCCCGCCACCTCCAGCTGCACCCTCTGTGGCCTCCAGGAGGGCTGGGTCTGGGCCCCGGGGAGTCTCGTAGATCAGGATGTTCAGGGTCTCCTCAAAGATCCGGGCCTCTGGGAATTCCACCTGCAAAAGGCCAGCAACCCCCAGCTCCCACCCTCTGGACCAGTCACACAGCGAGCCCCCTTCCTAGCAGCTGCTGCACTGGCACATCTCCTAGCCTTTGCAATCACGGGTTCTTTAACCTGGACTGTCCTCTTTGAAGCTTCTTTACTCAAAGTACACAACTTCAAGGTCCAGCTCTGAAGCCGGGCAGAGTTATTTGTTTTCTCTCCGTTGCTGCCAAGTCTCTTGGTGTGCCCTTTCATTTGACAAATATCTACTGAGTGACTGCACTATACCAGGTGTTGTTCTAGGCACTGGGAATACAGCAGTGAACAAAATTAAGTTCCTATCTGCAGGAGGTTCACATTCTACAGGGAGGACACAGACACACATACAATAAAGTATAAACTACCAAATGATGATAAGTGTTATGGAAAAAAAATACAGCAGGAGAAGGGGGTGGGGATGGCCACATCCAGGAATGTTACAACTTTAAAGAGGGAGTTCAGAGAAGGCCTCACTGAGGTGACATCTGACTGAAAGCAAAACAAGGGGAGTGAAGGAGCTAGGTGGATAACTAGAGAAAGAGCAATCTGGGAAGAGGCAAGAGCAAGTGTAAGAGTTCTGGGGCAGGAGTGCACTTAGTGTATTATTTGAAGATCAGCAGCAAGGAGGCCAATGCAATGAGACAGAGTAATGAAGAGAGCAGAAAGGGATGAAGTGAAGAGGTGACTGGGGGCTCCCCTTGTGTGGCTTGGAGGGATATAATTAACATAATTCTTAACAAGCTGCAGTCTAACTATTGGTTTATCTTCCTATCTTCCCAATTATAGAGGAAGCTGCTTGGAAGCTGGGTCATTCATTCATTCACGCACTCAATAAATGTTTCCTAGCTTCCACTGTGTGATAAGGGCCTAGCTAGTGCTAGAGATAGGAAAAAGAAGATACAGTCCTACCCTCAAGAAACTAAAATCTTGCTACTGCAGTAAACACCCCCCTACCTCCCACTCCCGGCAGAAGGGAGTATGACCAACTTTGTCTGGGGTTGTTGGGTTGAAATTTCATGAGCAAAGGTGTCCCAAAGAAACTGATGCCTGGCTTGGGTCTTAAAGATTAAGCATAAGTTCATTAGGCAGACAGGGATGAGGAAAAATAATTCCAAGAGGGAACAGTGTGTGCAAAGGTAGGGAGGTATAAAATAGCATTGGGTGATTAGAGGCTTGCAGGAGGTGTATCTAGGGCACATCCTTCATATCAAGGTCAGAAGGGACCAGACTGATAAGATTGTCAGGAGTCAGATGACATGTCAGAGGGCTTGTACTTTACTCAGCATTTCATTCACCTTGATTTTAAGCCTGGTGCAGCACTTAGTGCAGAGTAGGTGCTCAGGAAGTATCTGCTGATGATTCCCATGTTAATAACTCAGGACCTACAAACTCAGTTTGTAGCGTTCTAAGAGACCTGTGTGTTCTAAGGTCCCGAGGTTTTAAGAACCTATTTCGAATCATGGACCCTTCTGAGATTCTAACGACAACTATGGTCCTTCTATATGGAAAAATGCATACATACTCCCAAACCTGCATGCTATTTCAAGATAGCTTTGAAACCCAACTGGCCTAGGTTAAGAATCCCACTCTTACCCAACACGCTCATTTCATAGGTAGAGATATAGAGACCCACAGAAGGTGACTTGCCCAAGGTTATACAGCTAAGACCCCAAAACTTGGAACTCCAGCTCCTGCCTCCCAGTAACGGACTTGCCCCTGCCTGATCTGCTGAGCTGCCAGTTCCTCGTCCTGCCCACCACCACAGCCCTCCCTGACCAGGCCCTTAATCCCTTCTGACCTTGGTCTGTTTCTTCTCCGTGGCATAGACAATGGAGGTGCAACACACCTCGGCGATTTTGCGGCCCTGCCCGTAGAAAGACCAGCAGCAGATCTCGTCCCCCAGTACATCCTTGAGGAAAAGCAGCCGCCCGTGGAAGCGCAGGGCCAGTTTGTCAAACAGCTCGATGTTCTTAAGTAAGTTGTCATCTGAAGTGCTGAGGGTTAGGGGGCCAGGAGGCCTCAGCACAACTGGCTTCTCTCCCTCTGTTCCCCTCTAGCATAGGGGCCCAGACACCCAGCACTGTGGTCCCGCCCAGGAATTGGGTGCCTGGCAGGGAGCTTCCTCCACCCCTGGGGCCAGGCTAAGCAGGCCTGAGAAAGGAAGTAGCATTTGCTGAGCAAATCCCAGCACAGCAGAGTGGCTACCAATGCAGGCTCCGGGACTAGGCTGTCTCATCCCTAGCTCCACTATTTAATTAAGTGACACGAGGGAAGTTACTTCACCTCTCGGTGCCTCAGTTTCCTCATCCATAAAATGGAGATCATAACAGTACCTACCTCAAACAATTGTGAGGATTATGTGAGTAAATATACGTAAAGCAATTAGTGCAATGCCTGTTGTAAAGTAAGCTCTTAGTAAAATGCTAGTCATTACCATCTATTCCTCACCTGAACCTGTTTACTGATGATAAAACTGAAGGTCAGAAGTGAAAATGACCTGTCCAAAGCACCCAGTGGGTAAGTGACAGAGCTGGAATTTGCATTCAGGTAGGCATTCTTTTCACCCCTCGGTGTGGTCACAGCCCTCCCCTTGGGCCAGAAGCAGAGCTGCGCTTGAGCCCAGGATTCTAGCCCGTACACCTCCCGGCCCCCAAGGTGGTCACCTGGTATAGGAGTACTTGTTGTTACTGCGGTTGTGCAGGAGCTTCACCACGGGCTGTTGGGGCAGAGAGGATGGAAAAGGGTGGGGGTCAGGCTGCAGAGAGAGGCCCCCAACCTCCACTCTTCAGGGCTCAGGGGCCTCACCTTGGAGGTGCTGGCCAGGAGCTGCTGCTCCTCTCGGGGAGATGTCACCATGGGGATGAGGCACAGCGGGGACAGGTTCTGCCTTTTTTGCTGGAGAAGAAGCGGAAGGTGGTTAACAGCACAAAGGTCACTCAGTCCCCTACACAAAAGCCTTCAAAAGCTGCTTGTTGCCTTTGGGGAAAAATCCAGACTTAGTGGTCCAAAACGCTCTGCAGGATCCGAACTCTCGGATCTTGTCTCTACCACTCTCCCCTGCCTGCTGGGCTTCAGCCCCGCTGATGTTCCTTTGCACATCCAGCTTGTGCACTCCCTCCACTCCCAACCCTTTGCTGTTCCCACTGCCGGGAATGGTCTGCACTCGGTTGTTTGCGTGGCTGGCTCCATCATATCAGTCTGATACAACTCAAACAGTGCCCCTCAGAGGGTGCTGATCCCGCTCCCTAAGCTCCCTGCTTAAAGCAGCCTCCACTTCTGCCTTTCACATTATCAGTTCACTTTCTTCATGGCAGTCAGGGCCTTACATTTTCTCATTTTTCAGTACATTTGCTTATGGTCTGCCTCTTCTCACCTCGGGAGTAAGTGTCTAACATACAGTAGATGCTTAGTAAGTATCAGTTGAATGAATGAACCTGGCTGGGTGGGAGGCTGGAGGCAGAATCAGAACCAGACACACAGGCTTCTTTCCTCTTCTCTGTCTCCTAGAATCTTTATGCCAAAACCCCTCTCACCTCTCTCAACCTAAAAACTAGATGTGCAATTCTAATAGAAATTCTAGAAGATTTTTTTGAGAAACTCCTAAGACTTTTTCTAAAATTAATATGGAATAAAAGTCTACTATTACTTAGGTCAATTTTTAAAAAGAGCCAAAAGAGACTTACCCTACCAGATATTAAGATAGCCTACAAAAGCCATAATAATGAAAGCAGTGTGGTTTTGGTGTAGAAACAAACAAAAACAATGGAACACAACACAGAGCCTGGAAACAGACTGGGGTATATATGAGAACGATATTTATACAGAGGATACCACCAATCAGTGGGGAAAGTATTGGTTATTACTGTGTAGCAAATTGTCCCCAAACTTAGCAGCTTAAATCAACAATATTTATTCTCTCAGTTTTTGTAGGTTGGCAACTCAGGAGCAGCTCAGCTAGGTGCTTCTGGCATTGAATCTCTCACAAGGCTGTAGTCAAGTCAGCTGGGGCTGCAGTAATCTGAAGGTATGACTGGGTCTGAAAGATTCGTTTCTGAGAAAGCTTATTCATATGGCTGGCAAGTTCATGCTGGCTATTGGCAAGAAACATCTGACCCTTGTCATTTGGATCTCTCCATAGGGTTGCTTGAGTGTCCTCATAACATGGCAGCTGGCTTCTCCAGAGCAAATAATCCAACAGAAAGCAAAGTGAAGGCCTCAACGTCTTTTATGACCTAGTTTTGTTAGCCCTATTCAGTGTTGAAGGAAACTACATAAGGGAATGAAAACTAGGGGAAAGAATCACTGGGGACTGCCTTGGAGGATAGGACCATGGTCCACCTTCTGGCTCCCATTGATTCAAATCCCTCCCATATGCAAAATACACTCACCCCCTCCCAAGATTCCCCAAAGTCTCATCCCATTACAGCATCAGCTTCAAGTACAGAATCTTGTCATCTAATTCAGGTCCAGGTGGAAATGAGGCTCCTTGGGTGTAGTTCCTTAACTATATAGGTCCTTAAGTACATTTCCTCTTGATCTGAAGACCTGTGAACTAAAGAGACAAGTTATCTCTTCCATATACCCAATATGCAATGGTGGAACAGGCATTAGGATAACCACTAGGACACCAATGTTCAAAAGGAAGAGGCGGGGACATGAGGCACATAGAAGTCACTGCTTCAAAGAAATTCTGTAATCCAGTTTGACAAATGCCGGGAGCTCTCTGACGCATACTCTTGTCCAGGAATGATTCTCTATGGCTCTTGGCTCTGCCCTGAGTCATTCTTCCTTTTCCATGAAAGATGGTCCAGGTCTGCAGCTCCATAGTTTCCTTAGCCTGTTTTCTGCCTGTAGAACTTTTGGAGTCCAAAGGCCTCTTCTCCTCTTGCACTGTCTCTGTCCCATTCAGTCCAAGCTGGCAGTGTTTCTGCCAACATAATTCTCTTAAAAATTTAATGGGTGTCTTGTGAGTCTTGGGGTCCAGTGCATTAGACAAAAGCCACTCTCACAAATCTCTGTGAGATAAGCTCTTCTCTACTCTGGGCTTGCACTGGGACTGCTGCTGTGTAACACCCTTAAGCTTCTTAGAAGTGCCATTATTTGATTGAACTGTTCTCTGAGGCATCTTCTTGGATATTTCTGAGGTTTTAACAAAGGATTTTACAATCAAAATCTCAGCTTCATCTTTAGACCACGTTTTACTGAGAATGCCCTGTATTTGGTCTTTGCCTGGAAGCCATTTGTCAATTTTAACATCAGTTATTATCTGAAAGGTTGGGAATTTTCAAACCCAGTAATTCCTGGCTTCTTTTTCTTCAACTCTTTTTTTCTTTAGCTTACCCTCTCCTCTTCTATTTTACTACAAGCAACAAGAAAACTGTTGGCACCTTCAATATTCTGCCTGGAAATCTCTTTAGTTAGATCACCCACTCCATTAGGTATGTTTTCTGCTTTCTACATTCCTGTAGGAAACAATGTTGCTAAACTTCTGCCACTACATACTAAAGATTCCCTTTCCACCACTTTCCAATAACATTTTCCTCACTGCAGCCTCCTCAAAGGTCATCAGACTTCTAGGAACCAAATCTTTAAAGATCTTTAGGCCTTTATTAACACTCTTCTCAAAGTCCTTCCAGCTTCGGCCTACTTCCAGCTTATAAAGCTACTCGTACATTTTAGGTTTTTGTTACGGCAGAATCCAACTCCAAATACCAAAATGTGTTATCTGTTGCTGGATAACAAATCACTACAAATTTAGCAGCTTAAAACAACAATAAACAATTACTGAGCCAGCCCTGATGGCCTAATGGTTAAAGTTCGGCACACTCTACTTCGGTGGCACAGGTTCCATTCCTGGAGGCAAAACCACACCACTTGTCTGTCAGTGGCCACGCTGTGGCAGCAGCTCACATAGAAGAACTAGGATGACTTACAAATGGAATATACAACTAGGTACTGGGGCTTTGGGGAGGGGAAAAAAAGCCCAACTATTATCTCACACAGTTCTGTAAGTCGGGAACCTTAGAGTGGCTAAAACCCTGGCTAGCCCAGGGTCTCTCATGCAGTTGCAGTCCAGTTGTTGGCCAGGGCTGTAGTTATCTGAAGACTTGACTGGGAAGCAGATTCTCTTACTTCTGAGATAGTTCACCCATGGGGCTGGGAGTTTGTGCTGACTGTTGGCAGGAGGCTTCAGTTCCTCACTAAGAGGACTTCTCCCTACAGCTGCTTGAATGTCCTCACATGGCAGCTGGCTTCCCCCAGAGTGCGTGATTCAAGAGGGAGGCAGAAACTGCAATGTCTTTTATGACTAGCTTTAGAAGTCACACATTATCATTTCTGCAGTATCTAACTAGCTACACAGGTCACCCCAATTCAGTGTGGGAGGGGACTAAACAAGAGCCTGAAAAACAGAAGGCAAGAATTGCTGGTGGCCATCTTGGATGCCGGCTACCACAGATTGTTTAGTAGATGGCACTGGGAAAACTAGCTCACTCTATGTGGGATAAAAAAAGAGTTAAATCCCGGGCCGGCTCGGTGGCACAGCGGTTAAGTTCGCATGTTCCACTTCTCGGCAGCCCGGGGTTCGCCAGTTCAGTATCCTGGGTGCGGACATGGCACTGCTTGGCAAAAGCCATGCTGTGGTAGGCGTCCCGCGTATAAAGTAGAGCAAGGTGGGCATGGATGTCGGCTCAGGGCCAGTCTCCCTCAGCAAAAAGAGGAGGATTGGCAGTAGTTAGCTCAGGACTGATCTTCCTCAAAAAAAAAAAAAGCAGTTAAATTCCTTTTCTAATTCACATTTACAAAAGTGAATTCCATTTAGATTAAAAGACCCATACATGAAAGATAAAACTATAAAGCTAATAAAAAATGTAGACTAGGAAAAGAATTCTTAAACAAGACCCTAAAAGGATACACCATTAGGGGAAAAAACAAGAGGACTCTGACTACATTGAAATCAATGATTTCTCCAGTTGACAACAGAAAGCATGACTTTACATAATAATGTTGAAGGAATGATACAATTATAATTATTCGACAACCCTAATGAAATTACTGATTTAGGCAAGGATTATCAATTGGTGTGAGGTTGATAGGTAATTGCCATTCATATAGTGCCTAAATAACATCACACAGATTATAGTTGGCAACAGGGAAATTTAACTACAATGGAGGGACCTAAACCCAGGGGCCAATTCCAAGCATCACTGATGATGGGTCATATTAGCAACACAATAGGTCTCTCGATATAACACAATATGAAATATATAACATTACCTAAAATGTATTCTAACCAAAATATTTAATATCAAGCCTTTAAATCTACCATCTAGTTTACAGAAAACTCAGGATAGGGTAGGGTAACAAACCAAATGATATAAGTAAATAACCAAGCAAATTTAGAAAGTGGGTCATTGTACAGGACATGTAGTGGTCTCTTTAACACGTCAGCATTGTGAGAAAAAAGGGACAGTTTCGGGTTGGAAGACACTTAAAGAACATAAGAAGCAGACGTAATGCAAGGATCTACATTGGGTCCTAGTTTACAAGAACCAGCTATAAAAGACATTTCTGGAACAAATGTAAAAATTTGTGTACGCCCTTTATGTTAGATAGGATAAAATTTTATTGACACGGAAAGATGGCAATTATTAACAAACAACAACAAAAGCAGATTACAAAACAGCACATACAGCATGATCAATTTTGGCAAACACACAAACACACACGAAAATACTTGGAAGGATATTTGGTGCTTTTATTTTGTTTTTGATTATCTGTGTGTCCTAAATTTCTACAATACTTATACACTGCTTTAAGAATAATAAATGGATCCCACTACTGGGTATGCATCCAAAGAGCTTGAAGTCAGCAATTCCAAAAGTCCCATGCACCCCAATGTTCATTGCAGCATTATTTACAATAGCCAAGACGTGGAAGCAACCTAAGTGCCCACCAACAGACGAATGGATAAAGAAGATGTGGTATATGTACACAATGGAATACTACTCAGCTGTAAAAAAAGAACAAAATCGTCCCATTTGCAACAAGATGGATGGACCTTGAGGGAATTATGTTAAGTGAAATAAGCCAGATAGAGAAGGACAATCTCTGTATGACTCCAATCATATGAGGAATTTAAAAATGTGGACAAAGAGAACAGATTAGTGGCTACCAGGGGAAAGGTGGGGTGGGGCGTGGGCACAAAGGGTGAAGGGGTATACCTATAACACGACTGACAGACAATAATGTACAACTGAAATTTCACAAGATTGTAACCTATCATTAACTCAATAAAAATTTTTAGAAAAAATGATAAATTAAAAAAAGAATAATAAATAGTTATTTATAATTAAAAAATCAAGGATTTCTATTCAACAACAGATGCCACAGAGGTAACACTCTAAGAGAAAATATTAGCAACATCTAAAACTGACTATAAATCATTATCTGAAACAGACTTTCTTAACTGGGGATCCTCATCTGAATCTCAAATCACAGCAAATAATCTGAGTAACTGATTTTGCAACTCTCCTGAGGATGACAGGTAAATAGTACCATTCTAGATGCATAAAACAAGAGTTAATTTATTATGTACAACACATGCCTCAGGGTAACATGGCTTAATTCCTCCTAAGAACAAAACTAAAATATGTGAGGATCTCCTGCAAAGCAACCAGAAAAAGATAGGAAACTCAGTAGAAAATTTGGTAAAGAATATGAATAGGCAATTCACAGAAGGGGAAAGCAAAAAAGCTAGTATGAAAAGATGCTCAGTCTCATTAGTAATCAGAGGCAAGCAAATTAAAATGAGATCACTCTATACCAATCAGATTGGCAAAATTAGAATGCGGGATGATGCTATGTGTTGTCGAGGAGACACAAAAATGGAATCCCTTACACAGTGCTGACCAAGAGTATAAAGTGCTACAGCCATTTGGGAGAGTAATCCAATGATGCTTGCTGAAATTCATTTGTATGTGTCTTGTGACCCAACAATTACACTCCCAGCTACAATCATGAGAAACCCTGGCCCAGGACCCATAAGGCTACATGTACAAGGATGCTCATGGTGGCTCTGTTTGTGAGGGCAGGAAGCAGGAGGCAATCTACATCTCCAGCCTCAGGGGAATATATAAATAAAATATGGTGAATGCACACCATAGATTCCTGTACAGCAGTTAGAAGCAAAGAACTAAATCTACATACAGCAGCATGACTAGATCTGGAAAAAAGTGTTGAATTAAGAAATAGAACACATGATCCATAGCTCAATGCCATTTATGGAAATTTAAAATGCATGCATATACAACACAATGCTTTAGCTTTTCAAGGGTACAAACATAATCCAAGCATACGGATCAAAACATTAAAATGGGAGGGGTACCTACAGGGAAAGGGAAGTAGGCAGAGGATTGGGAAGGAAAAAATAGAAAGAGAAGATTTGCATAGATCAATGATGATTAAGTGCCATATATGAGGAATATACGGAACTCAATTCTCTGTATCTAAATCTTAAAAACAAAACGAAAAACCTCCAAAGAAACAAGCAAATTCTAGCTGAGTAGGGTGGGGATGGGAACAATCTCAGGGAAACCTAGAGAGGAGGCAGCTGGAGCAGAGAAGAAAAAGCATTGCACCTGGGAGTCAGATAACCTGGGGCTGAATCTGAGTTCTGCTGCTTACTGGCTCTTTGACCTTGGATGCATCCCCAACTTCCCTCGTGTTTCATTTTATGTCAAACAGGGGTACAAGATGTCCACACAAGCAGACTGTAGAATCACTCCTGACACACAGTGGGTGTGAGACAACATTAGATAAATGTAAAACTATACAGCAGGAATGCATTTCCAAGATCATCTAGTCTAATGTTTTTCAAACTGTAAGTGGTAACCCATTAAGGGGTTATGAAATAAGTTTAATGGGTCTCAAATAGCACTAAAAAGAAAGAAGACAATATATCAGAGTGTATTTCACTAAAAGTATCATTTTATAAAACTCTCATCTCAGTTATACGTATGTGAGCATGAAATGCATTTTTTTTATGAGATGCTGTCAAAAAGTTTGAAAAACACGGATACTGCTCAAAGGAATTCTATATTTTTGGATTTCAAGAATAAGTATTGTCCAATATAATAGAGAGTTGTTCATAGTTGCCACTTTTGAATATACAAAGGGCATCAAAAAAGAAACTCTTATAATTTCCTGTTAATATTGTATCATAAAAGAAAGGACATTGTTAACTGTAAAAATAGAACAGCATAAAAGGCTTTATGTTAAAACTCACTACACTGTACATGTTTTTCTCATTTCCCTATCTTTTGGAACATAAGGACAGAATGCCAGAGGTAGGAATTGACTCACTCAAGGTCCCTCAGTCAGCTGGGGCAGAGGTGACACTTAACCCATATGTCCTGGCTGGGCTTTCCAAGTTCTTCTCAGAACCCTAAGAGATCCACAGAAGAGAAGACCAGCAGGTGGGGCTCTGGATCCCCCAACCCGGTTTTATTGGGAGCAGCTCTGTTTATATGAGAGTTCATTGGTAAAAAAAAATTTTTAAACCCCCTGGGGGGTGGGGCGTGGAATGCTGCCTCCCAGGACAAGACCAGATCACAGAGGTCATTATATTCTGATTTAAATTTAGATTTTTCCCCTTAGTGGCACAAGGGAGTTATTTAGGATTTCTGAGCAAGGGAGAGAATAGACTGGGATTGTGTTAAGGATAATTACTCAGGCAGTGGTGTAACAGCTGAACTGGCTGGGAAGGAACAGCAAGAAGCAGAGAGAGAGCTGTCATTTAACTATTGCACTAGTCTTGGCAAGAGGTGGTGAGCAGGGCCCTGTCCGAGGCAGCAGAGATACAGAGGACAGCACCCCCAAATTCTCTGGGGTCATGGTTAGTCAGGGCTAGACCACAGGCAGCCTCTCCAGGTAGTACCCTATATTTCCTTTTTTTTAATGTTCTAACATCTAACTGCTTGGACAGCTCTCCCAGGGACATGGGCATAGAGGTGGGACTCAGGAGGCAGGGGAGGGACCCTCACCTGCAGCGCCAGCTGGCAGTCCTCAATCAGGCCCTGTACCAGGTAGTAGCGTGCTTCACCTAGTAGCTCCCCCAGTTCTCTGGTACTCTCAGGCAGTGGCACGGACCCGTCCCGCAGGTAGTTGAGGATTGTACCAAAGTGGCGGCCGCTCCGATCAATCAGCACCCAACCTGGTAGGGTGGGGAAAGGCAGAAGGAAGGATGGCTTTGCTGGGGGACCATGGAGCTACTAAATTTTTTGAAAACAAGGATTCCAAAGCTACAAGTCTGAATATTGATCTGTCTCAAACCTCTCCCATGTCCAAGAAAAACCCTTTAAAACATCTCCAGTGAGTTCGCCCATAGGCCCCCTTTTAAAATATCCAGCCACAGAGAATTAAGTCTCTCTCAAGTCTGTTCTACATTGAGAAGGTTCTCGCCAGGAGAAAGTTCTTATAGGTTACCTTATAAATAAGCCACTAACCTCTTCGTTAATTCTGACCATCCTATTTAATTAAACTGTCTACACTCCAGTTCACTACCATTTTAACCTTTATATTCTTCATAGAACTTATTACGACCTGGAATTACACGTTTGTTTCGTTTTTTCTATGTTTACTTGCTTATTGTTCTCCCCCTGCCCTCAGAAAAAAGCAAACTCCATAAGGCTAATCTTATCAGATTCGTTTCCTAAAGTATCTCAGCACTAACTGGCTTACAAATACTTACTGAATAAATTCTTCACCTTCAGATATTTGAAGACTGAGCTCTACCTCCCAAATTTTTATTCTCCTGTTCTCACAATCCTTTTTAACCCCTTCTGAATAGCACCCTCCCCGCCCCCCAAAAAACTTTAAGGTTCCACTTGGGCATGTGGGGCCCAAACCTGAATGTAGCACTCCAAGAAGGTAAAGTTCGCCCGCCAAAGAGAACCGTCCGCCCTCCTCTGGTGTCCCTGGCAAACCCAAAGCAGGTTTCTGTCTCCTCCTCCTATGATCTGCATTTACAGAAGGATTCGCAGAGTGTACAGGGAGCTGGGTTAGGGGAACACAGAGACAGACAAGATCCCCCAACTCTGCAGGTTAGTTGTTAGCGGTGCTGAGGTAGAGAGTGGAACAAAAGAATGGGCAGCTCTAAGAAACCGGCGAAGCCTGCCTGGAAGGGTGCTGCTGGCAGCACGGCAGCTTCCCAGGTCTCTCGAGCTGAGGGGTGAAGGGGAGAACTGGGGGGAGTGGTAATGAAAATTCGAGGTGACGTGTTGAATTACTACAGCGCCCGGCAGAGTTAGAGTAGGTTCCGTAAATGTTCGTTATTGCTGGAGGTAACGAGTAGGGGAGGAGGGAGATTATGAATGAGACAAGGAGATGAGATGGGATGGGGAGGCTGGGGGACGTGAGAATGAGTTAAGTGGACGGTAGTGAGACGAGAGAAGGGGCATGAGGAGGCTGGGCGATGAAAGACCAGAGGAAAGGGATCCGGGGGCTGGAGGACAGCGCAAGTAAGGGCGGCGCGCGTACCTCCGGCGTCCGTGAGCACCTCCGCGCGGCCGCTGAACATGGCCTTGAGCAAGGTGTCCTGGCCCGTGAGGGTGCGCAGCGTGGTGTAGTGTAGTGAGCCGCCCACGTTCAGCTTCACGTACTTGCTGTTAGGGGTCAGCGGCTTGAGACCGTAGGCGGTGGAGCCAGGCTCGAGACCCGAGGGCTTAGGGACATCCAGACACGGGGCCTCGGCCGCTGCCGAGCCCGAGGCTTCGGCCGACATGCCTGGTGGTGACGGCGGGCGGCGATTCTAGGCTCTCTCCGCGTCCTCTGGCCGGTCCCAAAGACCCCGGGACCCGAGCTCTCAGGGAAAACCGCTGGGCTCCTAAGCCCTTAGGCCGCCGCTACTCCGCTACACCTGCCCTCAGCCCCATCGCGCCGGCCCGCCCGGAAGCCGGGCCGAGCAGCTGCGCAGGCGCGGCAAGGTCCCGCCCCGGCCTCGCGGGCCGGGAGTGCGGAGCATGCGTAGTGGCCTTGGGCCCGTTGCGGGAGCCCAGACAAGCTGCCGCGGACCCACTGTCTCCCCGCCCCGCCCGCACCAGCCCGGGCCAGGTCCGGCGGGGGGTTGCGTCAAGTGTGCCCCCCTGGCGAGTAGCCGACGCCAGCTTGAGGAGGCGCCTCGCCCCTGCCTGCTGTAGGAAGCGACGTCCCCGCTCCGTGGTTGGCTTTCTGCTCTCGGGGTGCTTCAAGGGCGTGAAGGGAAAACTGAGGCCCAGAGGGGCAGGGGATTGGCAAGGTTTCCTGGCCCCCAGCGCCACGCACTTGGCCGACTGAAGAGAGCTTGGAACAAAGCACGAAGGGAAGCTCGCAAGGGAGGCCAAAGGGGAGGCCAGGGGAGGTGGCGGTAGTCTAGGGCATGCAGCCTGTGAGTGGGTAAGGTTGTTGTGGAGGGCTTCTCTGAGGAGGTGATACGGAGGCGGGCTCGGTGAGCCAAAGAGTCCAAAGAAAGATTTCTTCACTCTCAAGGTCTGGTAGTAGTGATCCTTTATTCAGAGAATAGCATGGGGACAGGACCCATGGGCAGTGAAGAGCTGCAATGTGTTGAGGGTTAGGGCTAAATTTATAAGGCATGGGTATGTGACATATTTTTACTAGACAAAGGAAAGATGATGCAAAAAGTGTGTGGGGTCTGGCTGTTGTGTGGTCCTATAGCTTTAGATATGAATCGGGAGACTGGCATGTAGGCCAGGATGCCTTGGGCTTCTCTCCCTGGGGCAGCCTTGATCCACATCAATATCGAGCTGAAGCAGAGAAGCGGTCAAATGGAGGTGTGAGGAAGAGAGTTCCAAGCAGAGGGAAGGGCAAATACACAGACTCTCAAGCAGGAACACGCTTGATGTATTTGGGGAGCAGAGAGAATGTCAGGGGTGGCTGGAGTGGCTGAGCAAAGGTCTTAGAATCCCAGCTAATATCATTAGATACTCAACCCTGGGGAAAAAAAAAAGAGGATAGGAACACATTGTTGACAAAGTGTTTTTATCAGACTCGATCTACATCCAGTTGAGAGGCTGATACATCAGAGATTTAACAATGGACCTTACTGTCTAGCAGGGAGCTTTGCTGGAGAGAAAAACTAAACAGAGTTGTAGTTTCCGCCCTCTCACCAGTTCAACAGGTGATCCCGAGCAATTCATTTCCTCTAGGCTTGCTTGGTTCCTTTTGTGCTTAGTGAGGAATGCAAATTTAAATACCTGCAGGGCACAGGTTGGAGTGTAAACGAGTGGAGTGGGCCAGTTATAAGGTGTTGGTGGGTAAAGGGGCCTGTGGTGACTTGTGGAGAGCTCATGTTCTGCCGAAGGGATTGCCAATTCTGATTTTTCCAGTGTAGCTGGTGAAACAATTTCTCTTGACAGCTGGAAGCTGATTTGCACTCTCCCTTCAGAAGCCTTGTGTTGCTGGGAGCCTACCTGCCACTATCAGCTAGGCTGCAGTATTGTCCTTTTGAGTATAAAAAGTTTCACACCAACATCAAAGTCACTCTCTGGTGGATTGAGATAATCATGTCCATAATCATGTCTGAACACATTGTCCAAACCACAGAAGTGACCAAACACAACCTCCTCCCCTACAGTTTGAGTGACTTGCTTGTTTACCAAGTACAGCTTTAGACCCATTCTTTCCTCCTAACTTCTAGATAAGAATAATTAAGATAACCAAAAAGAATTATGCCCACTTCCTGACAGCATCCAACCTAGAGCAAATCTCCCCTTTATTGAACCTTCCTAGAAAATCACCTAATACAAGTCCGAATCCTGTAATAACAATGCGCTTTCTAACATGTGCTTGCTGAGATGCCCAGGATGGGTTCCCCATGGTGTGCGGTCGCCCTTGTCCAACCACAGGTGCATCCCTGGTAGTGTTTGGCTGGAGGACATTGTCAGAAATGGAGCATCCACAGATGAAACCCTCACTGTCTTGGACTGGGACCTTTGACTCTATAATAATGTGTACATCTGAGATCCCTTGTGTCTCTAACTGTTTGAGGTACTATCCTACCCATGGCTGGGATGTAAGGTCTCGCTGAATTGAGCTCTCATGTTTCATTGAGACCTTTTAGCGTTGGGATTATTTTGTTTGTCTTCCTTGTGTGGGGGACTGGAATTGGCCACCCCAAGATATGTCTCTTTGGTATGAGGATTATTTTGGGCCGGTTACTTTTAAAAACTGCAGACAGGAAAGAAACTCTGAAAAGTAGAATTTACTTACCCTTTGTTAAGAGACATTTACATTTGTAAGGGAACTCTCCCTCTGTAAAGGTGTCTCCCTCTGTGTACCAGGAAGAAGGGGGGATGACCTTATCTCTAGAAACTCTTATGAATGTGGAAGGCAAGGACTTAAATCTGCATAATAACCTTACTCTTGTTTACTATACTTTTCTGGTAATCTCCCATAACTGACTCCCCCTACCCCCAACATCCTCCTTTGCCTTTAGCTGAGTGTGGTATTTAAGAGGAGAGCTTCAGCCATTTTGGCGAGTTGCTCAGTTTGCCTGAGCCTCTCCCATGTATACATGTTATAAAGCTTTGTTTAATTTTCTCCTGTTATTCTGTCTCATGTGAATTTAATTCATTGTCCGGCCAGAAGGACTCAGAGCGGGTAAAGGAAATGTCTTTCTCTCCTACACTTGGAAGACAGTCCCCCCCAATTTTTTGGTTATCCAACCAGATTTTATTTTTCCTTGGTGAAATTGTTTTCTGGCCTTCTACTGCCTCCTATGCTCTCTCCTTTTGTCTAGTGTCTTGAATGTTGTTTGTCTATAAGAGGAAAAGTCTATATGGAAAGGATGGGTTTGCAGCTCTGAATGTTTAAGGGCATCACAAACCTGTTATTGCCCAATCTCTAGTGGCTGGATACCACTTATCCCTCTAAGAAGTTGGGCATGCCAACCACTTTGGGGTCATGTAACTAGTTAGCATGCTGCAGTCTCATTTGTTATCAGAATTAACCAGACAAATTGCTCTGTGGGGGATCAGAGTTGGCCACCCCAAAATGTGTCTCTTTGCCTTGAGTAATTTTAAGAACAAAAGACTCTGAAAGAAACTTTGACCTTCCCCCTAACTGCCTAAGGATTTAAGATGAAAGGCCTGTCCCAGGACAGACCATCACCATAGACAACTCTGGGTATCGGTAGATTGTGAGGGTCCTTGCTAAGCCCATTTTTGTCAAAGTTCTGCCTACCAAACATTTGCTTTTCCATTTCCATGTGAAGTGCCTTCCTCCCCTTTGCAGTTCCAAACCACTACCCCCAACATTCTCCTTTGTCTTTGGCTGAAGACGACATTTAAGGTGGCAGCTTTGGCCGTTCTGGCAAGTTGCTCAGTTTTCCTGGGTTTCTCCAATGTATACATGTTATAAGGCTTTGTTTGATTTTTCTCCTGTTATTCTGTCTCATGTCAGTTTAATTCATAGACAAGCCAGAAGGACCTAGAGGGTAGAGGAATTGTCCTCCTCTGCTACAGCTCCATCAACCAAGAGCCAATAAATCTGGCTTACAACCAGCCCCAGGGGCTGTGAAATTCAGATGGTATCCTCAGACCAGTGTCCTTGGGATAAACTTTGGCTTAGGTCACCATTTCAAACCTTTATAAGGACTTCTTCCTGGGTTTTGTCTATGTTTCTGAGAACTGCTTTGTTTCATTTCTTCTGTCCAAATCAGGACATTTTCTCCGGCCTCTGATCAATGACAATTGGCCTTTGGCCAAGTTCTGGAGGTACAAGGTTGCACAGCATCATCCTTATGGATACTCATCTCAACTAAAACTGAGCCAAATAGCTGCTGCTTTCATGTTTTCTCATGATTACACTAACTTGTAGCCTTATCTCTCTGACACAATTTCGCTAGGGACAATTTGAAATTGCAGTGGCCATTTTGGGGGAACTTCTGGCAAGAATAAGATTGTTTATTTAAGAGGTGCCTCAGAACAAAAGGGGAAGAAACTCTCGTGAAGAGATTGTCTTGTTTGTCAAAAAGAGAGATTATTTTGTTTAACATAGGCAATATTTCATTTCTGTATTTTGTAGATTAATAAATGCTGACTTTTTTTTGGGGGGGGGGGGAAGATTAGCCCTGAGCTAACTGCTTCCAATCCTCCTCTTTTCGCTGAGGAGAACTGCCCCTGAGCTAACATCCATGCCCATCTTCCTCTACTTTATATGTGGGACTCCTACCACAGCATGGCATGCCAAGTGGTGCCATGTCCACACCCTGGATCCGAACTGACAAACCCCAGGCCGCCAATGCAGACTGTGTGCACTTAACCGCTGCACCACTGGGCCAGCTCCAATGCTGACTTTTTAATTGTATAGCTCTATTAAATTGTCAAGTGCCTGAGTTATTTATTTATTTTTTTACTTATTTTTAGGAAGATTAGCCCTGAGCTAACTGCTGTCAATCCTCCTCCAAAAGAAAAGAAAGATAAGACAGACTGCATCAAAATTTAAAACCTGTGTATCTAAGGACACAATCAACAGAGTGAAAAGGTGACCTATGGAATGGGAGGATATATTTGCAAATCGTGTATCCAATAAGGGGTTAACATCTAGAATATATAAAGAACTTCTTCAACTCAACGTAACAATAAACAACCCAATTTTTTAAATGGCCAAAGGACTTGAATAGACATTTCTCCAAGAAGATACACAAATGACCAACACCACATGAAAAGATGCTAAATATCATGAATCATTAGGGAAATGCAAATTAAAGTCACAATAAGATACCACCTCACATCCATTAGGATGAGTACTATCATTTAAAAAAGGAAAATAACAAGCGTTGGCTAGGATGTGGAGAAATTGGAACTGTTGTGCACTGTTGGAAATGTAAAATGGTGCAGCCACTATGGAAAACAGTATGGTGGTTCCTCAAAAAATTAAAAATAGAATTA